GTAAGCTGTCAGTCTCTGTATTCAAGGCATCAGTGGTGAAGTGGATCCGTCTCACTCTTTCATTCAGTGTCATTCATTTGGCTTCTTAACATGGAAGTGGACCAAAAGGGAATTCAGAAGAAAGGCAGCCTCTCTTAGCCAATCGAGTACTTACTTTGTTGCTTTGGACAGCCACAGAGACAACGGAGGGATAGAAATAGACAGATCTCATTGAAGGAACTGCTTTGTGGCATGGCACAACTGATTTCGGGGAAAAAAAAGAAGGACTTCTCTGAAGGGAGAAAATTTTTAGAAACCAGAAAATGACGTTCATTATTATTGTGTGATTTGAATAAAGTTCTGTGAGATTCAGTGTTTGTTTTATTTTTTATTTGTCTTGTCACGTAACTATTGAGAAACATCACTATAGCACACACATCTGATAGTTGTCCTGAAAACAAAAAAACGATGTATATAACTTGATTGTGCATTACAGGATTGATGTTATACAACCATTATTACACAAGGAGACCAAGCGACCTAAATAGGTATATGACCACGGTATGAATGCAGCATGGACATATATAGTTACTATACCACTGTCACTGTGGAAATTTATTATTTTTTGTCTTCAACTTGTTGTCCCCACTCTGGTCAATGTTTATTACAAAGAAAAACATACATGCTTCCCCTCTACTTGAAAGATAACTGCTTCAGGAAAAACAGTATATGTTTTAATATATAATATTTATATTAATTTTAGCACAATGACAAACTGACATAAACTCAGTTCAGACTCCTTTAGATCATGACAAAAAGCTTTCATATTTGTTTGAATAATACCTCATATTCAACAAGTCCTCCAACCTAAACAACAACATAGGATTTTTCAACCATGCCTCCGTCCACCCCAGCCCACCACCTCCGCAATAGGATTTTCTGGCTATTTCTTCATCTCTGGGACAGAACTGGATGACTTCCTTTTCTGAAACCAAATTCAACTGTGTATCTAATAGGCGTAAATCTAAGTAATCACATTTGTTTAACAGCAACAAGTCTTGACCAACATGATGGACTGGATTTTACGTGTTCCTCCTTTATTCAGTTTCCTCAAGCTCAAGGATGAGAGGCCTCATGCTTCTCATCCCTTTAAGGATTTCATAGAGGGCGTCCTTGCCTCTTGAGCTGGCTGAAGTCAAACACTGAAGAATGCCGCTCATCTGGTCTTTTGTGGTTTTCAAAGCTCTCACAACATTATAGTTCTCCTTTGAGATCAATCCCCTATCCTTGAGTTTACCCAGGATGAATCCTGTGTCGCTCACTCTGTTAATCAGAGCTGCCTGATGACGATCCACAAAATGCTGACCTGAGGCTGTCATGGAAGATAAAAGCAAAGCAATAAAACAAACAAAAAATAAACAGTGAATACTAGCTGTAATAGCCATATATTAAAATTCTAAAACAAGGAACTGATCACTTCACAATCCTTATTTGTATTTTAGAACTTACCTCTAGTGGTGTTTAGCCAGGCACACAGTTCTGGTTTTGTTTGTCCATGTTTTGAGAAATCCATCTCTGTGACCTCCACTGCTACACAGTACAATGGAAAGGGATTTCATCAGAGGTGCACACAGTGAAAAATAACATTTCAAACATTCAACAGCAATGTGACTCTTCAAAAGCAATGATTCACTTACTCAGGATGATCTGCAGACCTTTCTTTGAACAGTCTTAATTGACACTATTTTCTGATTTTATAGTGTTATTTAAGCACGTTTAGCTGGAAGTAGAACATGTTAGTGCTGTTTCACTGAGAGACTGAGAGACTAATTAAACTAGAACTACAAGCAGTTCTGTGAGGGGCCTCCCAACGCGAGCCACACCCTGCACCGCTCCGTGGGCCCAAGGAGTGATGGAAGTGTCTGGGCTCAAAAGGAGCAGCTCCAAATGGCTATTGTACTGTAATTAATGTTGTCATAAAAGCGCCATGTAGTGTCCGACTGACACCAAATTTTACACAGCTCCTCGGAGCAATACGGGGAGGTAGAGTACCTAGTTTCGTTTTAATCAGACACACCTACGAATGCTATTACACCTTTTCCCAGTGGAATCTCGATTTTCCTGCACGATTCAGTTTGCAATAACAGCGCCACCTATTGTCCAAATTGCATCAAATTTTGCACATGGCATTGAGGGCCCATGGCAAATAAATGACCTGAGTTTCATGTTAAAGGGTTATGGAGATGTAAAATGAATATATGTGGAGTCTTTTTTGGTATGAATTCAATAAGACATAACACCGCCACCTAGTGGCCAATTGACACCATATTTTACACAGGGGCAATGGGATATGATATGGGATATTGAACCAAATTACATTTTGAGGCAAAAGTAATTTGGTTCAATATCCCATACAAATGAATAGGATTTGCCCATGCTGACTCAGTTTCGATTATAGAGCCACCTATAAAACAAATTGCACCAAATTTTGTAGCTGTCATCAGGAGCCCATGGGGATAAATTGCTGGTAGTTTGGTAAGAGTCGGAATTGCCATTATGCAGATATAAAATGAATGTAAGGCAATGGGATTTTTAACAAACGTCATTCATCTCAAATAAAAAGACCACCTATGGCCATAGGGTCAACTTTGGTCCCTCGAGTCAGGAGACGATCCTGAGCAAGTCTTGCAAGTTTCATGTCAATGCAACTTGGGGTTATAGAGGAACAGCTATTTCCTGTTATACAATGCCACCTAGGGACTATTTGCACCACCAGATTTTGCACAGCCCCTCAGTAAGGCACGCCACATAAGGTCCCCAAGTTTGATGTACAACGACCATTCCAAACCTAAGAAATTACATTACTTTCTGTTTTTAACATTCAATCAGTAATCCAAATGCCTGGATTACTGATTGAAAAAAACCCACTATATATATAGTGTTTTTTATACCTTAACCTTTTCTCTCTTTATTAACCTTTTCTTTCTATTATACTCTTTATTAGTTTGTTCACATACGTAGGGTTTAGTTAGAGCTGTGAGACTTTTTAGTGTTTTTCCTCTCATGCTGTTCCTCTCCTTGAATGTTCATTCAAGGCCGGGAGAGGATCTCTATTCCCCAAAAACATAAACCTAGACTGTGTAAATGAGTGTGCATCCCTTTGCTGAGGCCAGATCCCTGTAACTGCTCTAGGCAGCAGGTCTCTGGACCATTACATTACATTACATTTATCTGACGCTTTTATCCAAAGTGACTTACAATTACTATATCTATATGTCAGAGGTCGCACACCTCTGAAGCAACTAGGGGTTGTAAGTGTCTTGCTCTCACAGTCGATTCAAACCCAGGTCTCTCACACCAAAGGCATGCGTCTTATCCACTGCTCCATCACCACCCGCTGTATGTGTGTTGTAGTACTTCTCTGTTTATTCTCGTTTATTAATAAATTCTTCAAAGACAACAGTTTGTTGTTACTCAATTATTTGCTCAATCCCTCACCAGCAATATACAATTTCTACGACAGTGGAAGCGTGGGAATTTTTGCGCCTGAGGTTTATGCAGGAGTCTGTGCCTACCCTGTGAGTTTCGTGTCTGTAGGTCTTACGTCTAGGCTACAGTATCACTTTTACGTATGGAAGAATAAAAATAAAAACCAATATGAAAACAATAGGAACAATAGACCTCTAATAATCAGCTGAAAATACATAAAATATTTGGTATGGTTGCTACAAGTTATTTATATTAAATTATAATTTTAAGTCTGCAGTCAATAGTCATAAAAGTTTACAGTGGACAGCTCTGCCATTTAGTTGATTGGAATATGTTTGCTGTAATTTTACTGAACCATCTACCAAAAACTTGGTAAATCCCTGACCCTCAATGACAGAAAGGATAAAAAAAAATCTGAATAATCAAAACATCACAGAGATTTTTTCAGTTTTGGTTCATGTTCATATTAAGAAAGTACTTACTGGCATTTACAGCACATTTGCTGAAGTAAGAAGAAAGTAAATTGGTACGACAAGTTAATTTAATTATATTAAAACTACGTACTGTACTAATTAAAATATGCAGAAAGTAACTAGATATTTAATTATGTTAAAGTTATAGTATGTTACCCTTTTCCGCAGTTTCTGTCTGGATGCAAAAGGCTACAGGTCCTCTGATGGTAAATCCAATGTAAAAGGAAACTTGGCGTGGTTTCCAGAGGCTGTTTCGTAGGTTTGCATCTACTTCAGTTGCTGTGCCACCAACAGTTGCATAGACTTTGTAGTTTTGTACCACCCCATCAATTTTGAGAAGGAGTGCTTGGACAATGGGATCTTTGAAAATCTTCTCATTGCTCCAATCTTGGATTGTTTCCTTATTCTGCTTAAGAACCAGTCCCTCGAGGACCTTTCTGTGAACAATTCTGTTCAGATCTTGACCTTTTCCAATGAAAAACAGAGGGCGGAGGTACCTTGATCGAAAGTATTTCTTATACGCATGGTCATAAGAACAGCGCATACACTGAATTAACTGACTAAGGTCAAAACACATTTGTCTTGACTATCTGTTGGCCAGTACAAGAGGAGGGCTAACATGTGGAGCTCAGGTGCGTCTTTGGAGGTCAGTGGCATTTTCTGTCCAAATGCATTTAAAAACTTGCAAGAGGAATGTAGAAAGATTTCTTCCCACCATGTAGTGACTTCTTTAAGCTCTGCTTCAGTGTATTCTCTGTCAAGACACAAGAGTACTCCAGCAGACGTTTCTGCCAGGATTTGTTTAAGCTTCTGGATGAAATCATTGACTTTTTCTTCGAAATGTTCATCTCTGACATATTTCCTGCAGCATTCTGCGATGTCTTTAGAAATGTATGAGGGATCGTCTTTCTTCATGTCAAGCTTTGAGTAGGTCAGATATTTATCAAGAAATGCACATTTTCTCTCAACCTCGTCTCTGCTTATTAGATCATTTAGGAGTTTGTTGCCTGAGCTCATGGACGCATGCTTTGTGAGGTCATACACAAGGTTGCAAACCTGCAGGTAACCAATCTGCCCTCTGATGTTAAAAACACATGGTATTTTGATCTTTCTAGCGTCTTCCTCGTCTGTCCCATGTTCTTTTTCAGCAAGTTCTTCTTCATCTTTGAAAGCTTCAATGGCTTTTGTGGCCAGTTGCAAAATTGCTCTCGGTTTGACAGGATGCTCTTTGTTCTTCAAACAGTTCTTGTAGACTTGTCCCAGTGTATCAGCAACAAATGAATTTTGGGGATCTCTTTCCTTTGCTCTCTTTGCCCACATTATTGCCTTGTTGTAGTCTTTTATTTCTATATAATAGAAACGAGCAAGTGCCTGAGGATAAAATGGATTCTGATCAAATTGTTTTGTTGCCACCTTTAAAACTGATGCACACTGAGCCTTGTCCTCCATCTTTTGAATGTCGAGAATCAGTCTAGAAAACTTTTCTTTGTCCTCTTCACTCTCTGTATTTTTGAATGGGCTCTCTTCAATTTTACATTCTTTTGGTTTTGGTCTTCTTTTGGTTAACATGTTTTTGACAAAACCAAGCAAAGATGGAGGAACCTCATCGCTGCACAAACAGGTCAGGAGGTTTCTTGTTGTGTCACTTCTGGTCACACCTGCCTCAGCCATCATCTCAGTGCAACACTTTGCTATCATAGGGTGAGCCATGCAGACTCTTTTTTCAGATCTGGTATCTCGTTGGAAGGTGATGATGAGATCACTAAAGGGCTTCATTCTGTCCTCCAATGAAAGGTCTCCATGGATGGAGTCTTCACATTTGAATAAGTCCAGGCACTGAGACTCCAGGAGATATGAGCCTGGTACATAGGCATTCAGCAGGGACAGGAAGGCAGCAAGCTGGGTCTTCTGTGATTTGTTTGCTCTCTTGATTGTTTTGAACACAGCACAGGCCTCCTGGATGTAAGCCTGAGAGAAACTAGTTTGCATTATGTTAAAGCCATGGAACTTCTTCGATTTATCACCGTATTTTGTGCTGAGCTCCTCCTTTTTCTCATTAAACTTTTGCTTCTCTGACTCAGAAAGCACTTCCTGTAGGAAAACATGGTCACTGTGCAGAACTGCATCATTTCTAATACAGCTGAGGAAAATCACTACAGGCATATTGGTGACTATCTCCTGTTCAGCAATCTTCATCATAATTTTTTCTTGCAGATCATCCAAATTTTGCTCATCATTCAGTAACAGCAGCACAGTATTCTGGTGGCCTCGACTGCCAGCTGTGAAAAGGTGGACCACCTCCTCTGCAACATCTGTAATGTTTGAGGTTGAGCCTGTTAAAGCAGCACACCTGAAGGTTTTCCGCAAGTCCCACAACACCTGCATGGCCAATGTGGTTCCCCCACATCCTGGCTGGTGGAACAGTTTAACAGTTGATGTTCCAGGGAGTTTTCTTCTTTGGTCAATTTGTTGCACAAGTGTATCGTATCCATCTCGTTTAATAAAAGGCCTTCCAGTGCCATCTGACTCTGCCTGTTCACTTAAGTGAAAGTTTAACCATTCAGGCGGGGCTCCTCTGTAAAATTTTTCCTCCGTCTGCTCAAGATGTTTTGGATGGAAAGACTCTCCTTCAAACTGATTTGCATAAAGAATATCCAAGAGTGAGAGGGAATCTCTGAATTCGCTTCCCACGTAAATTTCATCACTTCCAACAGTGGACAGGGCTGGTCCATTTGCCATCACTTTCAGTTTCACGTACCTTGATAAGGAACATAAAAAACAAATAAACAAAATTTGAAAGCTGCCAGGCATCGGTAAAACAACATTTTAAATCAGAAGCTAACATACAAAACATATCAGTAAATATCAGTTTATGATGCACAAAGTAAATTATGTAGGATAAATTAGCCTCACGTTAACCAGGTATGAGATCAAAATGATGCTTACATGTTAATGAGTCAGTAATAGCGATCCAGTAATACACCGAAAGGGATGATTTGCTGCCTAATGAGAATTGTCTCCTAAACCTTTGAAGACCCGCACTGGCATGATGCATTCACTAATCCTAACCATCACAGTTTAATTTCTAAAATGAAAGTCTCGTAATTCCCCTCCACACACTTGAAATAATTCTGAGCAGAACATATGATCTGTCAAGTACAAAGGCCCAACTAGATGCTTTGCGGTCGGAAGATGAGTGGAATGAAACAATTAGAGATGCCAATACATTTACTAGAGAAATGGGCATTCTAGTCGAAATCCCTTGCCCAAATGGACCAGCGAGAGCACGACAAGTGTCAAAACTACATACTGGGTTTAAAATGCAATCCATCATCGGACAATAAGAGGGTGAACTACACAAGAGAAACTCCTCTGAAATCCTCGATCGTTTCTCTCTCAAATTCACTCTGAGATTCACTGAGAATAAAGGGACTACATAATGCTGTCGAGGCACTCAATAGGTCGTCCCCCAGGCTTTTGGAAGTGGTCTCTGTGATGGCCTTTGCCAATCAGATCCGGCTGTCCTATAAGCTCACTATGCAGGTTGTGTGTTTCTAAACTGCAGCTTGGAAAAGATAACTGCATCGCGCATGCATACGCACATAAAACAAGAACGATTATGTGTCTCTCAGTCCAGGCTTAGATACAACTCTGGACTAATGCAAGATGGAAAGCACTGGATTGACATTAACAGGGGTGGAAATTAACTTTTTGGCTCACCTGCCAAGGTGGCTGGTAGACGGAAAATTCCCCCGGCCAAACAGATTTTTTACCAAAATAATAAATTGCCTTTTGTGTCACATATACATTTGTTTCTGTACTTCTAATTGAGATAATAAGGTATTATGTCAAATACAAACTTAAAGAAGAGAGTGAAATTTTAAGCAAAATTCTATTATTCATATTAAATGTACTTAAAACATAACAGTAAATTGTTTTATAAACTGACACGATGCTTATTAATCATTCAGCATAAATCTTATCACTGCTCACTCTTGTCATGCTTTATCATTCAATTTAAATCTCCTCATCAGACTGCTCACTTTCTACAATCCCCCTCTTCTGGCCTCCTGGTTCTGACAGAGTCCTTGCACAGCATCACAGCTTTCGTGGGATACAATTTTTAATACAGCCTATGGATCATTGTCTTTCATCTCTGGGGAGGACAGCAGGACCATTAGAAGATCTGACAGTGTGTCAGACACTGACTGGACCTTCAACTGCCCAGCTAAAAGGTAAAAACATTCCTAGCACAACTGTTGTAATAAGCTCCTAACACTAGCAGCTTTCACGCTGCCTTGTTTCACTGGGGTTTTGCGCCAATCTGCCGGCACTTTATGAAAAGTATGGACCAGGTTTTTATCCGCCTCTGAGCAGGGAAAGTTGGTGACAGACACGAGACAGAAAGACAGAGTGATCTTGTCTGTGAAAAGCCACAGCCGACATGCCGCTGGTTCCAGTAAAGCCGGATCGCTATGTGAAAGCCCACGTTTGCAGAATAGAGGCCCTTTCACACGGGATAAAGCTGCAAACTCTTTTTTAGTATGAATAAGCGAATGTGACATGTGCGGATATCCTTTCCGCATTCTTTCTATTAAAATATAACCATCACATATTCACAGGTTCAGTGCCTTATAGAAAGGAGGGACCTTATTGAGTGGCAACTTTAAGTGGCACTTATTGAAACTGAAAGTACTGCACTGTGTGGTCATTGTATTGCATGACAGTAATACAGTAATAATACATTTTGACAGTGTGTTATAGCATTTTGCCCAACAGCCAATACAAATTATATCTGTTATTGTAGGTATTTTTTTATGGTAACAAATCAGGGCAATTAATTGACTAATCATAATCACAATTTTCCAAAGCACAAAGTGACGTGTTCAATTTTCTTCTTATATCCAACCGAAAGTCCAAAACCCAAAGACTCTTCATTTACTATCATAAATGACAAAGAGTATATAGCAGCAATTCCTCACATTTAAGAAGCTGACACCAGCAAATCTTTCACATTTTTGCTTTTAAAAAAAGTTGTCCATTAATTAATTATTAACTAATCTTTGCAGCTCTAGTAACAAATCAATTCCAACATTTTATAGAAGACTGAAAACAGCCTGTGAAGGGCAGCCTACTCTGAAATTACAATAGCCTATAAATGCCTATTTTGTTCCAATCTTTGTTTGTTTTGCTGTGTTTTGAATACCCTTTAGTTACCTACTAGAATTCAGCATGTAATTCACTGCATTTATTTATTTTCTTTAAGTTAAAGTAAACAAATGACTAGTGATAATTAGACCTCTGCTCTCTGTCCATGGTGCTGAAATATGCGCTATAATAGATAGGATGAAAGGCATTTTCGTTTCTCTTTCTAAGTCACGCACAACATGCAAACATAATGCATTGTGAATGTGAGCGAGAGCTCATCCACATACAAAAGCTACTAGGTGGAATACGTACCGTTCGCAGTCTTCAGCAAATGAAATCAAACGTCTGACGGAGCATCCAGGCAGTCTGTCCATCCAGTGTTGTGCATAAACGCGCACAAAGAGCGCAGTTCATTGAACGTGCTCATGTTTCTGGTTAACTGTTAACTGAATTTTCCCGTTTGTGAACGTGAAGTCACACGCTGCTGAGTTAAACTCATTATACACTACTAAAATAACAGAAAGGAGTACGCATTTGGAAGAAGGCTACGGCAGTGCGAAGAAAAGATAGAACTTAAGTTTCACTTTCATTTTCCGGCGGAGCTTCAAGGGCGTAACCATGGTATAGAGATATATTTATATATGAAAATGAACAGTAGTCATATTTACTGCAGAGAGAAATAATATATACACTACGGGCTTAGACTGCCGGGGGACTCCCCCGGGCATGATGCACTGAGCTCTCCTCCTCTCCCTCTCCATCTAATACATTCTTGTCCCTTTAATGCATGTTACTAACTCAACTTCTTCCCTTTCCCATAGTTTTGTGTTTCAAGACACGTACTTCACCCATGTTCTTGCTCAACACCCACTGCTACAAATATTATTAGTCCTATTACTAAGCCTATTCTTATTATTATTCTTTATTCTCTCTAACAGACTTTACAAACTGATCCGCAAGGCCAATGACGTTGTGGGGGTGGAGCTGCTCTCTGTCGGTGGTGTCAGAGAGGAGGAAGCTGTCCAAACTACATGTCATCTTGGACAATGTCTCCCACCCACTCCATGACGTGCTGCTCAAACACAGGAGCACTTTCAGTGCAAGACTCTTCCCCCCAAAATGCACCACAGAGCGTCACAGGAAGTCATTCCTGCCTCTATAACTCCTCCTTCTAAAGCTGATGATACACGGGGCAACGTTTTGAGCAATGTTGCTGGGCAATGTTGCTAGTGGCAAGTCCGACTATGTTTTGAACGGATAGCGGCGGTGCGGTGCGGGTGGCGGAGTGGTGGGGGAAGGGGATTACGGTAGTAATCTTTACTCATTACCATTGACGGCAAAGTTGCCCTGCACGATTGCTCTAAAAGTAGCTCCGTGTATCATCAGCTTTAGTGTCTGACACTTACAGTTATTAAACTAGACCTTATGATGTGTTTTTGTGCAATATTATCTGTTCAATAATTAATGTGCAATATTCTCTGCTGCTTTTTATTCACTAGTCCTTTTTGGTTCACCATAACAATTCTTTAAAAAATGTAAATTTTGTACATACCACACTCATTTCTTTTCTTATATTTTATATTTATACTGTATTTCTTTACCTACTTTCTATTATTATATCTATTTTTTATCCCTTGATACGTATGCAACTGTAACAAAAGTATTTCCCCTCGGGGATCAGTATTTCTGATTTTGATTATTTTTATTGCTATCACTAATAATATTGATGATCTCGAGATAACAAAACAGTAGTTTAACACAGGGGTTGGCAAGAACGTTTCTTAATGGTAATTTCTAGGTGGTTTTAGTATCACTGATTAGCTCAGTGGGTAAGGTACATGACTCATTGTCTCAATTTAGTTAAGGTAAAAGTAAAAATGTTGCTGTGTTTTATATATTTTATATATTACATATTTAGATTATTGTGAATCATGCATTTGTAAACAGCATTTATGGTTCTAGGTTTAAGCTAATTCTTAACAATATTAATTGGGACTGTGGCTAATGATTCTTTTCAAGTTTAATCTGCTGATTGTTATGTTTGGTCTGTAAAAAACAATGTGAGAAGTGCCCATCACAATTACCAGTCCAAAGTTACACCTTCACAATGTTTGCTTGGTCCAGCCAATAGTTTTGTATGTGTAATAAATTAAAATAATTACATTTGAGAAGCTGGCAATTGTTGGCATTTATGCATGAAAAAAACCAACATCCTTGAAACATTTTATGTTTTTATAAGTTAGTTTAAAAGGAACAGACTCCCAGTTTTGGATGATGTCTTGCTCTAGCTCCTGCATGGTTTGAATGCGCTCATTGTATATTGCTTTGTATAAAAGCACTTGCCAAATGAATATGAAAATAATCTAATAGAAAATAATATAAAAAGTACAATATTTCGCTGTCTGAAATGTTATGGTATAAAGTGCCATGCAAATACTCAAGTAAAGTGCAACCACACATGTGTCAGCATAGGTACTTAGTTACATTTCACTACCCCACTACACTACTGTATGTTATCTTTAACAGAAAACAACTCCAGGAAACACAGTATAGGTTAGCAAATATATTTTAATATATAATATTTATATTCATTTTAGCACAATGACAAAATGGCATAATTTCAGTTTAGTCTCATTTAAATCATGACAAAAGCCACACCTTTATATCTGTTTGAATAATACCTCATATATGTTGATGCAGTCGTTGCAAAATAAATCCTGAAGTACTTCTTTCCCCATGAGAGGAAACCCTTAGCAAAAGTTTCTAACAGCATTGAGCCCATGGCATTCAACAGGGTTATGTTGTGAGCTGTATGAGAAAATGTAAAATGGATGTAATGACGCTCTTCACTGCATTGTTAAGCAGAGTGTCACATCCTCCAAAACCACGTCAGATTCTTCGTCACTGGGACAGAACTGGATCACTTCCTTGTCTCAAACTAAATTCAACTGTGTGTAGTTTATCTAACAGGCATACATCTACAGCATTAAGTCTTGACTACATGATGGACTGGATTGAAAAAACACACCCGTCACTTGCTACACCATTTGAGAACAAACACATTACAAAATAACTGGCAGAATACAAGTGAAAACATCCCACTGACTGAATCTCACGGCAGTGACACACAGGGCAACTCTCATTAAGAATTATACTCAGCGATGTTAGTTCAAATAAAATGTTTAGATTTATATTAGAAATGTTTACATTTGCTGATGTTCTTCAAACTTGTGGAACAAAACTGCTAAAAGTTAAGTTTGCAGCTGAAAATTAAGAGCTGAAATTATTATCCCTACTAAAGCATTTTGGGAAAATCTCTGCTACTTGTAGGTGAGTGTTTCAAAATCACAGACGTGTCCACACTCAACGGCACTGAGATCATTTGTATAACACACTATTAGACTTTTCAAGTCTTGACACCTCTGCAAAAACCTCCTCTAACCTACAACTCCTTCATGCTGAGTCAAATTGTTAGATGCCCTTAAAACTTAAACCACACCACAGGAATGTTTTTGAGCCTTATGTTAAACCTTCAGTTACAAAGATCAGATTAGTGTTGAAAACACAAGACATCAAAATAGCCACCTTTGTCCACTACTGCAAAATGCACACACTTCAGGAAATCTCTGATCTAGCCACAAACATTAAGGTGACTATATCTGAAATAAAAGATTGTTCACCACAAACATCATGAGACAATGGTCAATGTCAAGCATTGCATGATTTCAGGTCCATCCACCCCAGCACTTTGCAGCTGAATCAAGTTGGCACTTTTACCTATGATGTGAAGCTTGCTTTTTTTGTGTATGAAATGTAAACTTTATTTGTCAAAATCCTGTGCCGCTCTAAGTTGGTGAGGTTAAAAAGCTTGTGCACAATATTCAGTAACGCCCAATTGAATGTGACTCACACTCTTCCTGTAACATTAAAAGGTGCAAAGGAAAACATAAAAACATTGCTGCACAACTTCATCTGATTTGACTGACCAGACATTCAGCATTTCTAACATTACCACACATTATTATCATTAATTACATCTCACCCATTATACAGCATTCTTGTGCAATACCTGCCACATTCAAAATGATACTGACTAGATGCAGAGGTGTGAAATCTTTTAAACACACCAAAGATATTTCTAAAAGTATGAACCTACATATTTCTCTCTGCAACCAAAATATTCTTCACGACTTACACCACTCTACCCAGCACTGATACCTATAGTTACTTCTTCACTCAATCACTTAGTCCATGTGCCCTTTAATCATTCACTAATATCTCACTTGAAAAATAGATAGCAAATAAAACTATGGAGCTTGAAGTGTGCTTATTGTCCAGATGAGGGTTGTCAATTGGCTTTTTTTTTTTTTTTATTACACCCCATGGGTTATTTTTTGTGTTAAATGAGTAGAATGAGAACATACTTTGCATGAAAACACTGCTAAAGATTGGCTGCAAAGACTGTAATCTACAAATCAGGGGTTAACATTTCTACACACACCTAGCCCAAAATAACTAGACACCAAACCATTTAAATGTCCTGCTCTTGGTGCAATGCGCAAGTGACAACATGTCTCATACGAACAAAATGTCAGATTATGACTTTGTGACTGCTTTTATCTTTTGTCATGATTTGGAAACTCTCTGAATAAAATCATTTCACAAGCAGTGACCACGACACGTCTGATCAAATACGACACAGTAAAACATAATATGTTACATATCAGTAAATACAATGAAATGAATATCATTTTTTTTGTAAAATCATCACCCAAAGCCAAAACAGCAAAACCTAAATGAAGAGTGTGACATGGATTATAAAAGTGTTTTATGCATGGTCCGCTTAACATTAGATAAGCAACACGTTTTCATCCCTTGATTTGTTTCCAGTTAGTAAAACAAAATCAGGATACGTAAAAACAACAATATATAGGCATTAAATAAATTAATCAATTTCAAAACAAACATGATATATATTCAAAATACATATTTACAACCTAATAAAATGTAAAGAAAACAACAACAATGAAAAAATAACTCAAAAAACACTGTCTTTAAAGGAAAATGATACTCTTGTTTGAATGAATTTTAATTGACTGTTAGCATTACATGCTGAATACCTTCACACAATATCTGCTGCTTCATTTTTCTACTTCATCTACTCTCTTGTATTGGTTATAATCAGGTATTCACCACAAATACATAAATATTTTAGTAGGTTTATACTTTTGCAGCATTTACTTTTGAGTTGATATGTACGTGGTACATGGAAATCCAAATTTGACATCATTTGTGACTGATATGTTGATATATTATGTGCCGATGGCTACAGAGGAAAATACTAAGCAATGCCAAACATATAATCTGCCTGGTGATGAAGTCCAAGGGGCTGTGCCACGGTTACCATTGTGACATTGATGTGGGTTGACTTTAGAGGAAACAGGCAGTAGATGAAGGCAGTCCACTCAATAAACGGCTGCAAATGTTTTAACTTAACCAGGAGCGTCTACAGCAACAAGCAGTTGGATATTTTTCTTTTTTTGATGTTTACAAATATTGCATGGACAAACTACTGACAAACTACCATACAATTGTTAACATGAGTCCATTGCCTACTGAAATTATGAGTGCGGGAAAAAAAAGTCACTTTGTCACATACATCTAAATTCACAAGCTGCTATTTAAAAAGCACTTCAAATAAAAAAAGAAGAAAACATAAAAATACAATGGCCCAAATCCTCCCTTGCTGTTATATATATATTTTTTTTACAACAATGGAAACACATGCTAAGATCTGAACAGAAAAACCTGTCTTTTGGTTTCTAAAATTACCAAAGCTTTTCACTTAAAGTGGTGAGTGGAAATCTAACATGTGTGGCCAACAATCACATTAATTTTAACACTGAGAAAGACCATTACCCACAGGTCATAGCAGTAAGTACATCTGCCTCCCTTTGAATGACAAATTGCTCTCATTTCAGCTCCGTGATAAATGCAGTGGTGCCATTTTATGTTCACTTGGCTCAAGCTACAGGAGGGCAGCTACCGCTTCACTAAGGGTCAGGCCTAGCGAGGGCTCGTCTAGATGCTGAAGGTAAAATCCACCCTGAAATACTCTAACACTGTTACATATTATCAATCTGAAAAGGTCGAGCAATAGAGTAAGGGTTGTAAGGGTTTCTTTTCTTTTTGGAGACTGTTAAGCGATTAATTTCACCCTACAGCCAATAATGGTGCAAAACTGCAAAACTGCTAGTTTAACAGAGGTTTTTTCGCTTTGATTCTAAGGGACAAAAACTTACCGCTTGATAAAAAATCAGGACATCACCAAATTCATCAGGATTCCACTTCTGACGACCACGCATGTGTACGCCAAAGTTCATGCCAATCAGTTCTATAGTTATTAAGATATTTCAGTCTGAACCAAATTGGTGGACCTAATGGTCGAATGCCATCCACCGCTCTGTTGATAGATAAAACCTTAAATGCAAAATGGGCACAGTTCAATATAAAGTATAGCATACATGACAGTGTTAAATTATTTAAGGGTGGACACTTCCTTTAACAATATTTTCAAAAGCTAGCCTGATATCAGGACGAATTGTTAACAGTGGATGTTTTATACACTGTTTGCAGACTATTATAACCATTAAAGGACTATTAAATGTTACCTTCAGACTTTTCTTGCAAAAGAGTAGAATGGGAGATGCAGGAGAAGACTCCTATAGTTGGTCCAACAAGTTTTTCCAGTTTCAAACAATGAATATTGAGTAATTAGCATTTATTTTCTTTCCTAAAACTGCTCATATTCAGTTCCTTTTATGAAGTGCCACTCAACCCAGCACGTCAATGATGCAAATTCAGTATCAGAATCTGACACGCCATACTTTAAGAGTTCAGTTCTTTAGATTAAGTGATTTGTTGGGAGGATATGTTACAGTGCAGCGTTTTCCTACAGACGTAAATGCATAGGATACAAATCAGTCCATCACTACAATATACGGCGAGCAATACAGAAGAGAGAAAAAAAAAAAACATCACGGAAAACAAATCACGCAAACTGTGATCAAAATAACCGTCTTGGTCGTTGGCACTGGGGTCGGAGTGCAGCGTGGTGGTGAGGGAGAGGAAGTAGGTAAGTAGCGGGGTTGGGAGAAATGACTAGTCATACACTGATTTTTATGATGTTGGTTCATTTTTTGATCCTACAGCTTTGATCACAACACAGACAGGGGCAGAAATAGACCCACAGACATTCTGTACACACCAACACTGAAGTCCTTAGCAAATTTCAGAATAAAAGTAGCATCACTCTCTTTAAAAGTGAGAGTCGTTTTGATTAACTTGACGTGTGTGCCGGCATCTGTCTCCGCGTCACACACAATCTCTCACAGTTCTGAAAAATTTCGGGGTAAGTCCGCTAAGGCTTCAACGCGGGAAAAAAAGAGACACAGTGTTCAAAAGAGCATTATAGTTTAGTTTCAACAGTCTTGCTAGCTATTATGTTGGTGCATGGTGGGAATGGCATAGTCAGCGGGGGTGAGCGGCTGTGTTCATTAGAGATCCTTGTCACAATCTATTATTTATGTACAGTTTATTAAAGGACATGTTTTATTATCACATGCCATGTTTTCCTTCTGACGTTTTCTCCCCTCTTTCACTTACATCTGCACCTATTTTTTTATTTTCAGAGGCCTTAGTTTGCCCTCTTTCCAAGCTGGTCACTTATTTTCTGTGCAAGAAATGAAATGGTAACAAAGGGGTGAAGAAGGTCAATTGTTTGTCTCTCTATGTATCAAGATTTTCACACAGTAAATATAATAACCAATATGATCTTTCAAAATATATTTTTGTATTTTCTAATGTAGTTCAAAGCCCAACCAGACAGGATAAAACCGAACGTACAGTGGAAATTCGCTGCTAGAGCTACAGTGTTGTCTATGTTGACTACACACTGCAGGTCAATATATTATATCTTCTAAATTTTCTTACAATATTATTAGTATATTTACATCTCTAGCCAGCTCATACAACAGACTTTCATGCTAACTGGTCCTCTTGATGAAAAGGGAACATCCATAGTATAGAAATAATTGCTATAACTTTCCCATCTAAATATTTTCTATTTGCTATGACTCAGGCTAAAGGCAAATATTGGCTTTTCATATTGGAAAATCAGCTTTAAATATCTTCTAAAATATTAGATTTTTTGCTCTTGAAACACGATATAATTATCTGTGTAAGAGTAAAGGGAATGCATACAGAACCTCTAGCTGAGGAACAGTGACTGTCCTGTCCTTAAAGTATGACTTAAACTTTTGTTTCAAAATACAGCAGCCTCAAGGCAATGTTGCCAAAAGAGGCAAGAAGATGGTAACTTAGTCATTTTTAAATGAACTATGCAGGTTTTAAAGGGATAGTTAGACACTTTGGGAAATTATTTCACTTAACTGTTTGATGTTAGATGAAAAGATTGTTACCACTCTCAGACACGTACATGGTTTTGATCTTCTTGTCTAAGTCATGGCAAAAATGTGAATAAGTGTCTTTCCCAAAATTTCGAACTATCCCTTTCACATTGCAAACACACCTGAACAATGAATGCAGCTACACACTAAAACAATCACCCTCATAGAATTGGACCAGAGAACCATCAGTCATATGTGTGAGAATTAGATTAGTTATTAGATTAATTTTATTTTTACTAAGTATTAACGTATTAGCTGCAGCTTTGCTTTTTAAACAGTTTTTGATCGTGTATTCTGTATTTACATGTTTTACTCTCATTCTCTTAAGTTTCATCTCCAGATACTAGTTTTCACTTTTGGCATTCTGGTTATGAGTAAGCACTGCTGAATCATGTTAGTCATAGTTATGTATCACTGTACATACTATGAGTACACAGCTTAATTGTTTCTATGGTTACCTAACAGCTTTCTGATGTTTTCATAATTTTTGATTTGTTTTTTTGCCATTGAATTGTGTTATGTTTTGAAGGCAGGGGTTGTAGTTTCAAATTCTTCATGGGTGGATGTTTTAAGTGTAACAACCATGACTGACACACACACACACAGACAGCTGCATGAACACAGCATCACAGATTGAACAGTGTTTTCAGATTGCACTCATTCTGAACTGACCCACTCAGCGTTTGAATCGAGGGTAGACTTTGGCTCTCTCTCTCTCTCTCACTCCTCATACACATACGCTGTTGGTCCGTCTCCAGGTTTCTTCTTCTAATGTCTTTCTTTCTGCAGCTCTCCCCTCAGCTTTGGACCGGTCTGCATCGCTACGATCTGATGGTTGCTTTGTAGGTGGCTGCCTTGCGTGGGGTTCTGTGTCACAGCATGTGTTAGTGCAAGTAGGGTGGCATGGCTGTATGTGTGTGTGTGTGTGTGTGTGTGTGTGTGTGTGTGTGTGTGTGTGTGTGTGTGTGTGTGTTGTAAATGTGAGGGATGTGTGAGGAAGGGGAGTGATAGGGTTGGTCAGAAACGGTTGGTCGGTTGATTGGAGTGCCAGGAGTGAAGAAATCAAGGTGCAAAGATCCGGGCTGGGGGTCGTGACTTCACACTTTTTTAGGGGGAGGGGCCAACTTGATGATCTCATCTTCAGAGGGCTGGCGGATGATGTCTTTAAGGTGGGAGGGGTTGCAAGAAGAGGGTAGAGAGAGAGAAATAATCATAAACCTATGTTTTAAAAAAAGAAGGTTGTAGCCAGAACAAGGAAAGAGAGCACATCACACCCATTGTAGCATCTTTGGCTCAGTCTTTTTAATTATAAATTTCTTCTGTACCAAAGCTGTGGAATAATCTACCTGTAAATTTCTGATATGAAATTATAATCCTTAAGAATTTTATCATGTCAAACCCCATTTCCTTTTTTGTGGTCTGCATTTTTTAGCAATAGCCACTCAATGTTTCACATTATGTAATTACCCCTCTATAGTACATTTATTATATTATTTGATGATTAGTAGCGGACTCCACCATTCCTGCACAGGATTTAAATGACATACATGAGGGATTCACAAAATGCATGCATACAGTGGGGCAAGTACCAATGGTGCAGATCAGTAGATCAGTAAAAGATCAAAAACGGGGGAAAAAAAACTGTCAAGTTATTTTTGTGCACATGGCAAAAAATGAGCTAAACAGACATTTAATCATTTTTAATAGTAGAAGAACTGATGTTTTTTATTTGGCCATTGCACCTGTGTTTTTATTGTGTTTTCTCTCGACCTGGCTGCAAGCTGAATTTCCCATGTGAACTGAACTGAGCTACAAAAAAGCTGTAGAAAGGAAATAAATAATGGCTGCAATGGCTGCTGAGAGAGGACGAAAATAACAGGAACCTGCTCTTATAACATGCCCGCATGACTGATTTCAATATTGTTGATTTACACTCAACAGAAAAATTACCAGATTAGTTCCCTCAAATTCATAATTAAAACCGGAATACATGTAACATAAAGTCAAGATTCATGCTTTAAAAATATTTAAATTTAAATAATATTTAATAATAATAAATCAGGCAATATATATGTGGATGATAGTTTGTACTCAGTAAAGGATGTTTTGCCTGCAGTTTAGTTTGTTGTGTGTTTGTGTGTTCATTAATTAAGTAAATAAATAAATACATTTGGAGTAATATATTCACCTTGTTCTGTTATTTTATTTAGAACAACTAATTAAAACTATTCACAAAAAGTTTAAATCACTTTAATTGGTGTAAATGATCATTTATTAGAACATTAAACTACAGCCAACATAAATAAACCATAACAACCTGAACGGCATAATATCATTATTTGAATAAATGAAGTGAGGAAAGTAAATGTTGCAAATACAAATAAATCTTTTTTAAAATGTGTTTCAACTTACTTTCAGGACTAATCCAAATGTTTAAACTAGCGTGCTTCTCAGAAATGTTTGTGTCACAACTTTTTCTTAGGAATTTACAGCAGTGGTTCTAAACCTTTTTTGCTAGTCACCCCTTAATATGAAGCAATGATAACTTGCTACTCCTTATCACAGGTTGAAGAGATTTACCAGTTGTGACCTGTTCCAACCAAAGGGTGATGTTTTTGTCCTGAAGAAGTAAAATTATTAATTAACTCTATCCTGCTAATCATCTTCAGAAGTATATTGCCACCACTAACAGAGGCCCTGACTCACAGGCTGGGAAACGCTGAGGAGAGGATCTTAAGGTAATTGTCTCTTTAGCCATTAGAGGGCAGAACCTGACTGGATTTGGCAGACCAGAAAGCCAATCAGAGTAACTTCTTACACATCAAAGATACAGTGATGTCCTAAAAGGGCAATTTTGAAGAAACTGACCCTATATCTACATGTTCTAGAGATAAAGCATATAGAGTGTGTTACCTTTGTATTTCTTGGCTGAGGGGATGCGTGTGAGCTTGGTGTCGATCTCGTCATCCTCAGAGATCTTGAGCACGGTGGTGCGGTACTCGATCACCCTCGTCAGCAGGTCCGGCCGCCGTGAAATCTCGAAGATGTGCTCGATGTACGACAGATTATCTGCACGAGAAGTGTTGTTAGCAGGCTTGTTCACTGAAAACACGGTAAGTGTGTTTCAGACATGTCATACAAAGATGCTTCTGTCATCAGTGGAGGCCTACTGGTTGTGGAAATAAGAAGAGACAAACTCTTCCTCTTTAATTCCAGTTAAGTAGCAACACAGTAAGAAAAGATAAAATATAACCTAAATGATTTGATTGATGATTTGATATCTCACCTTGGGCCAGCTTGTCATTCTTCTCCAGGTAGCTGAACCACTCCTTGGAGGAGGTGATGTTGTTGCTCTGGTCCTCTGGGATGTCCTCCTTGCAGGCCGACTTGAGCTGCTCCAAGTCTTCGTTGGTGATGTTTTCAGACAGGTCGCTGAGCAGAGAGCTGTACTCCGCCATGGTCTGGACAGAGGCAGACAGAAGAGAGAACAGTTAGATATTCTGAATAAAATGATACCAAAAGTAAAGAGGATTTCTGAGCAAGGCAACAGAAACTAGGGAGAAAGAAATGTTGTTAAACAGCCCACATACTTCCCAGAGTCCAGAAAGGAAAACAGTTTGGACATCTTAGCTAATGACAATAGCATACTGTCAGAGTGGGATGGAAAAAGCACAAAATCACTGAGAACAGAACATATGAAACAGGTCATTCTTCTCTCAGTGTCAGATCGTTTTGTGGCAGATTTAATTCTAAGTAGACAGCTGAAAGAGAAAACTGACAGGATGGGTCAAAAGGTGGTGAAGGACTTTTGTTAGCATTCAGCTTTTGTTTTCCATCACAAGGTTAGCCATTTATATTGACGTTACTGACGTATTTTCCTCATTGTCGACAAATCTCATGGAAAGACCAAAACCAACTGATCCTACTAACAAATATTGTCTGTGTATCTAAATCCTGAAAGAGCAGTCTTCTTTTGTTATCCAAACACAGTTATGAACACCTCAGTGACCCATCCTGTTGCATTAAGTAAAATGACGTGGCAGTTTATCTCAAGTCTGTTCCACATAAGCCATCCTGCTGCTGTAAATGCTCACGGATGCATCAAATGTGTATTAATCCACTGCTAAAATTAGTCCCCAGCAAAGACACTTTCCTCCTTTTGAATTTTGAAGTTTGCAATGAACTACAGTGCCCAGCTGTCTCAGGACATTACTGAGCCTTTATAAAAGTTTTACAATACATATATAACAATATATTTGTGCGCTGTTTTTTTAAACATTTGGTAGGAACCAGTGGGCTTGAGGCTGAGAGGTACAAACAGGGCAGGGATGCCTGAAAGTAAAAGAGAGATCGACTAAAGCATTGTTGGCTATCCTCATTTCATGGGATTTGTTGATGATAAGAAAATATAGAATAACACAACTATGTACTCTCAACATATATTAGCAAGATCCATAAAGATGGACTTTGGCCTACAGCATTATGTGCCAAAAGGGGGGGGGGAAAACACAAGCTATTAGTTGCTTTTCATCCAATCAAATAAAGATACAATGACAATGAATAAGGCTCTCTGAGTCCCTCTAGTGGACTTAAAGAAGAAGAACATTTCTGTACTACTGTAGAATCAAAGAACCAGGTATTTGTCTATGTATTGGCTCTGTGTGCATGCAAGACATTTAAATACATAATATGTGAAACATCAGATGCATGTTTGCTTAGTCAAGAGATCATGACTTCACCATAACTCTTAATGCTCTATGTCCTCCCACATTCAGATTCTTCAAATGTGTTTAGCTGCCTAATAACGTTATCCTGATTTTCCATACTTTCAGTTGTTATTTACTGTGTTACTGTGAATTTACTCCATACACACAGCATTTCTATGTCCATCCCAATGGAGGGGGATCTCTGTTCCTCTCTGAGTTTTCTTCCTTCTAAATCCAGGTTGTCATATGCTGTACAGATTGTGGTACAGGTCAAAAAATGTAATGTGATTTTAGGCTATATAACTAAAACTGACTTGACTTACATTTAATTTAATTATTGTGATACTGAACTCAAGTAACCACAGAACCCTGAGTGACCAGCAGAGGCAGCAGCTGAACACTTTCCGTATTTTGAAAGTATAATGACATTAAGTTGCCAAAAGACACAAGGTCTTTGTTAACTTTCATGACATGATGGTTTAATACAATCAAATGTTCACACCTTGTGATTCTTCCTAAAGTTCACTTAAACCACATTTGCCTACATCAATCATGTGCAACATATATTACATTAGCTTAATCAAATTTGCCAGTACACTTTTAAAGGCAATCTATAATTTTTAGAAAAACAGAGATTAATTAATTATGTGTTTAACTTACACGGTTCTCCCTTCATGAACTCTTTATTTTTACTATATATTGCATTTATTACAGGATCCATAACATCGGCCTATATTAACAGTGTCAAAATAACTGAAAGTGAAATATCTTACACCAGCTTTCCTCTTGCATAAAAAGAATAAGGTGCATGAAGCTGAGATGCAGCCATGACACACTTTCTTCTGAGAGGCACTATTGACTTAAACTTTGCTAAAAGTTACATTTAGCCTCTTAATATTTTCAAGGAATACTTTTACTCATGAGTCAAAGTTTGCATTTCCTAGACATGTTATGCAAACTGGCACTGATCTTTGGAGGAACAGAAAATTGATTAAATTGATTTTCACTGGCTTGTTTTTTGAGATTTAGACCTGAAATGGGAACAGTGGTTAAAAGATTCAGTACACAGGCATGCAGTGGTTACGGATCAGGCTAAAGGAATGAGTGTTGTCGAGATTGCAGGGTTCAGGTTATCCCCACAAAGAGTTGTCTGTACGTGTGTGTGTGTGTGTGTGTGTGTGTGTGTGTGTGTGTGTGTGTGTGTGTGTGTGTGTGTGTGTGTGTGTGTGTGTGTGTGTGTGTAAGTGTGTGTCACTGTGTAGGAGTGTGTGTTGGCATGCGAGTTCAGAAACAGGCAGCCAGCGAGAAAAAGACAAAAAGAATCCCAGTGAAAGAGAGACTGAAAAACAGACACAGTGATTCAGACATGTTGTGAGGCCGTCTGCTCTGTTCAGCTGTGTCTGTTTAGAAGAAGCAAAGAAAGTAGATCACAAGGAAAATGCAGGCTTTTACAGTTCATGAACGCAGTGTTTCAGACTGCAGCTCATATCTCCGTTATTAACATATTTGGGTCAAGCTATTCATATGCATATTCATATCCAGATGATCTCAATATCTGTGCATATTACTGTAGATGTTATGGTGAATTGCACAATGTGAAGAGCTATGAAGGAACAACAAAGCAAATTATTATTAGAACAATTAGTATAATTCATTAATGATTTAAATCAACTTTCAAGCAAAAATTTTGTCTGATTCCAAAAGCGAACAATTGCTAATTTTCTTACAGGTTTTCTGTGATAGTAAACTGATTATCTTTAGGACAAAATAAGATACTTGAAGATATCACCTTTGTAAACCTTCTACGTTTTTCAGTATTTAAATGTATACACAAGTGGTTTCGGGCTGAAATGACAATAATTAAGTATTAATTATTTATAATTATAATATTAAGTATTATTAATAATTAATATTTTATTTTTTGATCATTTAGTCTACAAAATGTCAGAAAATAGTGACAAATTGCCCTTCACAACGTCACGTGTCTTCTTTAGTCCAATCAGCAGTCTAAAACCCAAAGTTTCAGAGTGAAATCAGCAACATAATACTGGTACTTGTAATGATATATTAATTTATATTAATATAATATATAATATTGCCATGAAATCTGATTCTATATGCCAAAACTAAACAAAAGGTAAGCACATATCTTAATAATCGAGCTAATACAAGTTTATTTATTGGTTTATATTTACATTCCTTATACTTGACATACAGTAGGAGCCAATAAACATTACTGTCCATACTATAAAAAATGATCAAGTCAGATGACGGAGGAATCAAGAATATTAAGATTTGGCTTGTTGTCTAAAAGGTGGCGTCATACCGTATGGTGGGCTGCTAATGACATCATGCTACAGCAAACCAAAAACCCACTGGAGGTCCAGTTTCCAACATTTTCAACCTCCAAATGTTCCAATGAAACGGCTGCCTCAGGATTTCCAAAGGCCTTGATATCCCAACATTGGTGTGATTTTCCCCAGCCCTCATTTTAGCTATGTGGAAATGATTAAGGTCACCTAAAACCAGCTGCATCTGAGCTGAATGGGATCCAGAGTCTCTTCCTCAGGGACACTCTGGCAACTCTGGGAGTGATACAAGTCGCAGTAGGACCGCCTCCTTTTCTACCCATCCCTTGTGCGTTGAAACAGAAGCTTCCTACAGTATAAACATGCATCTGAAGGCATACGTTTCTTTCTGTGTCAAACGCAGCAGCCCCAACCCCCTCCCTGACTATCTGTCCCTGGCATCCATGCATCTGGCAAGAGGCTGCCACTCAGTGCAGTGCATCATGGGCACTGGCACGAAGCTCTGTCTGCCTCTGATCCCCTCAGTCTCATCAGAGATAAACACGCCGTACAGAAAGCCCAGAAGAGCTCTGTGATGAGTGGTGTGACCTATATACAGTAACAGAGCTGCTGCTACATGCAGCTACCACCAGGGGGCCCCCATTCGCTGTGGAGCATTAGTCACTGTAGCTGCAGCTTGTGCTTATTTAAGCATCTCATGCTATCTTTACTTAAGTGTCTTTAGCATGCTCATGTGGACATATGGATAGGAGCTGATGCTTTATAGCTGAGCAGGAGATAATTTCTGCTTAAAGATACACAGCAATGATGGAGAAAAATATTATTAGACTACTCATTTATTCAAGAATAAAATAAAATTGGACTTTTTTATGTAAAATCTGAATTACAAGCTTGTAACAGGTGGTTATATGAATAGGTCTAAATGCTGTACAGACAAACAGTGATAAAGTCAGCATGTGATGTATGGGATGATGCAGCATACCACAGCAGATATGATAGTTAATGTAACTGTCCCACGGGCTGATTTAAGGTCAGGTTTGTTTGTCTGTTCTCTAATGGCTAATGGTGGCATTTGGTTTGGTTTGTCTGATCCAAGATCTCAGCCTCAGGGAGAGGGCACAATGATGACAGAGCGCTTTTACTGTGCATGTGTGTGTGTGGTGTGGTGTGTGTGGTGTGTGGTGTGTGGTGTGTGAGTGAGAGAGAGAGAGAGAGAGAGAGAGTGGAGAGAGAGAGAGAGAGTGTGTGTGTGTGTGTGTTATTTCAGTCTTAAATGTCGCATTCATCTCCTCTCTAACCAGAGCAACTTGCTCAATCAACACAAAGCACTGCGTGGGAGAGAGCAGGATATGCACCTTAACTCCAGTGAACACAGCACGACTACAAATACTGTGCGTGTCTGTGTGTGCATGTATTTGAAGTGAATGTGTGTTTGAACGCGTT